GAGCCATGGCGGGCACCGCGTCCACTTGCGCTAACGGCTGCGGGCCGGGCGCGCCCTCCGACGCCGAGGTGCTGCACCTCTGCCGCAACCTCGAGGTGGGCACCGTCATGACTTTGTTCTACTCCAAGAAGTCTCAGCGGCCGGAGCGGAAGACCTTTCAGGTCAAGCTGGAGACGCGCCAGATCACGTGGAGCCGCGGCGCCGATAAGATCGAGGGGGCCAGTAAGTGTGTCTCTTCCCAGCCTGGGCCTCTGCCCGCGCACACGAGTCTTCGGGGTCCCGGCCCTGCTCCTTTTAAACGGCTCGCAGCCTCAGATACTTGGGCGAACTTTCAGGCCCTCCCCCTCCTCCGACCCCGCCCCCGCCTTGGGGTGGTCACCGAGGGCGCGGGGGTGGGGGCATCCGGGTCCTCGATCACCTTCCAGGACACCCTCCTCCCCCAGCAGGGGGTAGTGTTCTAGGCTTTTTGAACTGAGGCCTAAAAATCCTCTCTGGCTGAAGACCAGAGGGGCAGGCATCGGGCCCCTCAGCCCGAGGGAGTGGTGTCATCAGCGGCCAGGGGAGCCAACACAGTCGCCCCCCACCCAGCCGAGAACCTGCGGCCAGAACACCCTTTCTCTGGGTGTCACAGTCTGTGAAACACTGGGCCCCCAAGTCTGAGCTCTTATTTGCAAAGGAACTTTTGGATTTCCTAAATAGAATTTAGGCAGATGTGGAATAGGGCTAGTTTGGGAGCACAGCTGGGCCTACCCATGTCCCTCTTTAGAAGAGAGGATGGTAGTCTTGTTCGGGTTGGAAAAGCCTGAGAGAAGACATTGCCTGCTCCCCCAAACCCCCTTCTCTATCCTGCTTTTTTCCTGAAGTTGAGTTTTGGACTGTATGGTGGGCAGACACCCAAAGCCAGAACTGGGGTTTTTGCCAGGCTCCCCTCGCCTCTGCAGGCATTACTGTGAGTAGGATCTTGGCTCCAGAAAGGCCAGCCCCAGTGTGCCATGGAGTCAGGTACTCTTTGGAAGAATGTGTAGCCGGTTTGGGGTCTAGTCCTTTGTGTCCTGTGTCCAGTGACCGCAAGAAGCCAGGAGCTGCTCCACTTGGTTTCCTGCCGTTTTGCCTTTCCAGGCTTGAGGTTGGCAGTTTTTGCAAAGGTCTCTGGTGGGAGGAGGGAGTTGGGGGAGTTCGAGAAACCCCAGATCTTTCGGATGGTTATTACACTTAGTGAGTGCCTGTATGGACACTCCTCTCTGTACACCCCCCCACAGTCCCCTGTCTCTTATGAAGAGATGATGTGTTTGCAACCCCGAGCTGTGTGTTGCTTCCTTCAAGGACCCCCAGAGACAGGTGTTGGAGATGCCCAACTCAAAACCAGGTGTGTGGGAGAGTGTCAGGAAGTGACAGCCTAAGAGATAATCCCATAGACCTTTTGAGTATGGTGTGCATGCATTGTGATGGGTGAGGAGATGGAGAGGAAGAAGGTCTTGTGGTAAAGCAGCCATTCTCAACTACAAACTACAGATCTGACAAGGCTGCTTGAGCATTGAACGGCAGCTGCCTTCCTCAGTGTCTCCATTGGCCCTGTCAGCCCCTGATTTGAGAAACTGGATTCCATTGTGGAGGAAGGACAGACACTCTAAAATGCTGAGGTAGCCCTGGGAACATCACCTAGGTATCAGACTACAGGCCCAGCACCCTTGCATCTGTGATACTCCTACAATGAAGTGGTGGCATTGGCTGGGGTTTCCAAGACAGATCTCCCAGATAATAGCTGCATTTAAACCATGCAGGTAACTAGCGTAGCACCATGGTAGAAGGCAAATCTCCGTGAAGCACATAGTAGCACTTTTGCATCCAGCCAGTTATTTACTTTCTCTGAGCCTTATTCTCATCTGTAAAAGGAAGGTAATAGTATAGCCATCATATAGGGTTGCTCTGGAGAATAAGTGAAATAATTGATACAAAGCATCAGTGTCTGACATTGTAAATATTTAATAAATGTGAGCTGATACATTGTAGTGCCTGACACGTTGTAGATGTTTAGTAAACAGCAGTTAGTAATAGTAACAGTAAAAAACTATGTTTGCCCTCCTAGAGGTTGGACTGGGGATGTTTAGGGTGGTCTGCTGTGACTGTTAAGAGAGGGTTGCAGGAGACTTAAGTTCATGTTTACTTAGCTTGTTACTTGCAAAAAGGGAGGAAACAGTTTTGCCCTAACTCATCTAGCTACCCACCTGTCAAATAGAGCGGCATTTCTGTAGAAAAAGTGTTTAGAGTTTTGTGCACTTTGCTGGTAAGTGAAATTTTCTTCAAGTTGGGCCCTGAACAGAAGGAAAGGTTATGGAAAGAAGACCAAGCAGTGCATTGTGTCTCATTTAAGTTTTTGGAGGACGGAGGCAGGAATGCAGAGGACTTGACTTCCCTAGCCCCCAAAGGTGGATCAGCCAGAGATGTACAAATTCAGTGCTGAAATTTGAGGGGCCTGGAGAGTAGACAGTGTAAAGGAGCCCTGGCTCTTTGATTTAGGGATCCAGATCAATGGAGCCTGAGAAAAAGGGTAGTAGATGCAGGTGTAGAGTTCAGACCATACAGGTGGAGCCTCCCACTCAAGTCTTACCCTACTTCCACCCAGTCATGGCTCCCTGCTTTGATGGGTTCTCATCTCTGCAGCCTTCTGCAAACTTTGAGCAGGATTTGGTTGCCAGGTGGATCCGCTGCCACTTAGCATATTGCCCAGGTGCCTCAGGTGTCTCTGGCCTTTTCATGCTGAGATACCCTGCCAGTGTACCATGCAGTGCCTGAAGCCTGGCCAAAGGATGAGACACTGTGCTACCCTTAGGATGTTCGGTAAAAGTGCAGAGCACTCAAGTGTGAGATCTTGTTCTGCCCTAACTTTGCTCTTTTCATGTGACCACTTGTGAAGTGAAGTTTAACTCAGAAGAGGGGTTAGGAAGTGCTTTGGTGCCATTTGGTTGTGTGGTGGTGTGACAAGAATGCCAATTGGCTTTTTTTTTTTTTTTTTTTTGGTACCAGGTTTCTAACTCTGTACCTTGCACTTGCCAAGCAGGCAGCAGAACCCTTGAGCTAAATCCCAGCCCAGCATTGGCTTTTTATATTGCATACTTTAAGGGAATTAAAAAACAATTACAGACTTTCTGCTGAGTGTTAAAGGGACTTGTCACCCTTTTGTCTGGGCTGATCCTCAGAAGGACCCTACAGGATGGCCAGGAGTACCACCTCATGTTATAGATTGGGAAACAAACACAGGGATTGATTAGTGCCAGTGTGTGCCAGAACCTCACCTGGGCCCAGTGGCCAGTCAGGACTAGCTGCATCCCAAGGTGACTGGGCTCTCTCAGATTGTGCTCCCTCCATTCCTTGTATTCTGTGTTGCCCTTACAAGGAAAAACCTTTGTGCTTAGACCACATTTTATGAATAGAGTCTGTTTCAGCTTCTGTATTCCAAGATAGCCTCAACCTCTTTAGACTCTGGTTCCATGCTTTTTCATATGGTACCTTCTCTGGTGAGATGGTTCAGAGTGTGTTTAATGAGTTTGTTTAGTTGAGGGTCATTGTTAACGCAAGAGCCCCAGGTGGCGATTCTTGTGGAGGTGCTCTGTGGATGCTAGGCAGGCACATCTGTGGGGACTTGGAGAGCCTTAGGCTTCTATCTTTGGCTGATTGGTAGGTAGACATTCCTAGATGGCAGGCTCTCTTAGTGAATAGAAATGGACCCTTCCCTTTGGGAAAACTTTAAATGGACAACAGTTTTGAGGGTTACCTTATCAAAGGAGGCAGTGGTGAAGAGAACGGCTGACTGCCTTGGGGCAAGGAGGCTCCAAGAGGAGTGTGACCCTTGTAGCTGTGGCGCTATGGGTGTCTGACAGTGAGAAGAACTCACTACGAGGCTTGCTGTGAGGGATAGGCCCACTACACTGGAGGATACTAGATTGATATTATGAAGGGTTCCTTTGTACTGACTGGTTACTCTCAGTGGGCAAGAGCACATGTCCAGATCTCCAGGGCTAGCCATCCCTGCCTGTGTGTTTCCTGTCTGACTGTCGTTTTTCCAGGGGAAGTAAGACCTTTTAGTATTTCTTCATCACCTCGGGATGGCTCTGATGTGTGGGTTTCCAGGCCTCCTGTCCTGCTGGAGTTCTGTTTCCTGTGAAGCTAGGAAAGAGGGCATATTTCAC